AGTGGCACATAAAAGAATGATCAGGCAAAGCTTTCAGACAGAAGTTGTTCGCACAGGAAGGCTCTTTGTTGAACAAAATGGAGATGTTAGCAGTGAGGGGCGCACTTGTTGAGCGTCCTTATGGATACGCCAGCACTCACACTTGGCATTATGTACCTTATTATTTATATGGACCTGTCAGCTAATAATGCATGGCTCCCTCCACAGAGCACTTTCTGCCATCTTTTGAAAGTCGGGGAAAGAGGCCTGTGGTCGTTCCAGAGACGTCAGGGGGTCGTCTCACCGGGACGCTGTCTGAAGAAGTCAATCTGACCCAAACGGATACAATTCAGAGCTGTCGTTGTTCTCCGGCATCCTGTCTTTGTTCGGTTTTGCCTAAATTTGCTCAGGACTTGGGGTAAAACACCAAAAAGTCTTCAAACCCACCTCTATCTCAGGAATCCCCTTTGGTAATTGGAACCACAGTGGTTGCCCTGAGAGGGTTAAGAGCATTGTTCACTTATGGTGCGATAGGGACATTTTTTTCTATTTTATGCAAGAGCGAGCCCTGATTAGAGGGTGAGTTTTAATGACAACTAATTAGCCAACCTCTTTAGCCTTGGCATAATGATCAAACGAGCTGTCATCGGGTACCTGATACAATGATCCTCTCACTCTTGATATGATATTTTATTCCTCTGCAATTATGCAGCCCTCACTGCACCACATGTGTTTATTGCCTGGAGCACACATGTCAAATTAAAGAGCAGCTTATGCACCTGATATTTAATTATTGCCTGCTGCACCGCCGTGCACAATGGGAAAATGTCAAAGGCAGCAATCTGCAGTACTTCAAGCAGAAATTGACGCGCTGCGATCACATCCACGGACGCACAGCAAGGAATATGAAAACTAAATATTCCTGTGCTTTTACGCCTCCTTTTGTCATGTCAAACAAAACACCGTGCATTAAGGTATTACCCAAGTACACATCTTGGGTTTGCAAAATAGTTCCTCTGGATAATTTAAAAAAAAGGGAAATTAAATCTTTTTAGGGTGTTCCTTTAAAAATGAGGTCTGAAATTAATGATTTAAACACATGAGTAGATATATTTGTGTTAAAGCAGCAGAGATGTGCAGAAACACTTGATTTGTCTTCATAAGTAAAACTCAGAACAGAGGCATGAGCGTTTTCTGGGGAGAATTAGCCCGTCTGAGCATGACTCCATGTGGTTAAGATAAACGTCGTCTTGGTATGAAAAAAAAACTATCTTCGGCTATAAAGTCTGCATTTCTATTGGTAATTCAATTATTTTGCAAACCATAAAAGTTTAATTATTCTTGAATAGTCTTTGAGATAATTTCTGGGTCTTTGTCTTCTCGGCAGTCCCCTGACAAATTTATAGCGCCACAAAATGTGATCTTGATTATTCTGCAGCATCTAGCTCAGTGTTTACCCCCATTTTTTTTTTTTTTTTTTTTACAATCTGAAATAGCTTCTTTATAATTGACTTATTCTTCACATTTATTCAAAGACAAGGCTGCGGTCACGCTCTAAGTGTTTAATTCTTTCCGTTTCCTTCCTCTGAAAGGGCTAACTTCTGGTCCATTGATGAAAAACGGTGTTGGTCTCCTAATTACACACTTCTTGAAAATGGATTGTCATCTTGGCAGTGTTTCTTTTCCCCCCATTTTTTTTTTTTTTTTTGGTCTTTTTTGTGTGCATTCAACATTCTCTTTGCTTCTCTGAAAATACGATTGAGTCACTCTGTTGCAAAACAAGAAGGAAATGTTAAGGAACAAGTGTTAATGCTATTAATTTCCTTTTTCGTAAATTTCATTTACCTCCAACTTGGTAGTGAGATTACTTAGGCGACCTACGGCTGTCGTTGATAAATGTTTAGATGGCAACTTAGAATTTGTCTGTTTCATGCAGTGAGTAGTTTTATGAATAAAGTTGATTAATTGCTCCGGCTCTGATCAATTAGTGAGGTGACATCGCTGGAATGATTGACTTAAACGCCCCCTCATGAGTAATTGTCACATGCAATAAATCAGACTGAAATATGAAGTCCGTGTTCAGGTCCTGCCCTGCAAATTTCCTGATTTACAGTATCGGCGGCCGTGACTTCATTTATATTTATTGTTGGCTGCAGTTCAGAGAAGCTGCAGAAAAAAACAGTTAAATATCTGGAAAAGAAATATTTCATTTGGAAATTAAAATGTGCATTTTAAAACATACAGGTTGCCAGGTTGTGTGACAGTTCCCATTCTGTTGCAGGATAATGACACAAACATTGATGGTGTGACTAGCTGTGTAACGGAGGGACATCACTTAAGATTGGAACACACCCCACCCTGACTGGGAGCCCGCTGGCCCGTCCTCCGACTCCCTGGTGGCCGTCCAGTTATCCCGACCACCTGCTCTGCTGGACGTTTTGTGACAAATGTTGATAGATGTTGTGAGTTTATAGAGATAATTGACAGTTAAGCCAAGGATTCCCCGAACACAGGCTTAATTTACCAACAGCATGTTCATCATTTAACCGTTTTGCATCATCTGCTCAGGGCCTTCAACGAATATTTTTGCAACAAAGTTTAAACCGTGAACACATCATTATCTCCCACCATTTTCAGCAGAACTTCACGTTTGCATGAAAACATTCAAAGATGAGTCGTGTTGCAGGAAGCACCTGCTCAGTGGACGCAAAGGAATGATTATGAACTCGGAAAGTTTCTTCCAGGATGCCCCAGATGCCGGTTATACGCAGATGTTGCAGCATTGCTGCAAAACCACAATCTCGACATATGGTAACTGCAGTGGAATTATTTTCTGGCCAGCGCTCTAACTGGGAGCTGATAAAACGCTGAAGGTAAGCTGCCCCCCTGCCCCCCGCTCCGTGGAAATGAACACCTGCCAAATCTAAAAACATGAAACGTCAGTCCGGTGAATGAAGGGCCACCAGGTAAAGCCGTTAAGGCTCGTGATGGCCGGAGCAGTCTGAGAGGCCACAGGTGAACGCATCCACAGATGTTCCGGCAGCATTCTTCTCAAAGCTGATTGTGTGTTTGATTCTATCCAAACCAAGACCAATTCATTTCTAACACAGAAATAAATAGTTGGTTAGATTAAAAAATAAAGGTTTAAGTTGTCTTAAATTAAAATGTACTTTGAGTTTCCTCCACCTACTTGCATAATTACATAATACATAATTATGAAAGAAGTAGAAAAAGTGTAAACCAAAGTTAAATTCTGCATCTTCCACTTTTGAGCAAATTAAATTAAAAGTACCTCATATTTCCTAATTGTAAAGATGCCGTTACCTATTTCCACTGAAGTTTGATTCATATTTTGATTTGAACTGACTTTGAGTGTACGGACTTGCAGATACGTCGGTGTGCTTGTAGTTTTTGTAGCAGACTATTCATACTTTAACGTAAGTGGTGCTGCACTTCCAACCCGCCGCAGTACAAAAGAGCCTTTTAAAGCAAGAGTTTTGAAAAATATTTTATTTTTGACTTCTAGTTTAAAGTTTCCAACCTATTTAAAAACTGGCATGTCCAGAAAAACGCAGGAACAAATGCACTCAGGTGGCGTCGGCTCTAGCCGAGTTGATGTAAAATCTGACTTTTTTCATCTCCTACTGAATTTGTGAGTTTGCTCGAGACTGAAAATGGTTTAGTTTCTTTGTTTATTTATTCACACAAACATCTTTAGGCTGTTTGAAACTACCTCATTCAAAAGAGAGAAAATAAAACGAGACTTTTACATTTTATATTTGTAATATGGGAAAATAGTGAAAGTGGCCATTTTTATGGCTGCACTAGAATTTTAAACTTTCTCCTTCCATTACAGAAATGTTTATTCTAGAGACACCATTCCCGATATTCCCGTGCATTCCGATCACAAACGAAATGCTGTTTGCTTGTCAGACTGACTGATTTCTCGGTGCTACTGAGGCACATCTAAAACATAGTTAGGGTTTTGTGAAGCATTCACCGATAGCCAGGAGATGCATTTTGTTTCACTCCAAAGCGTAACTAGCAGCCACCCACATATTCAATCACTGGGCTTCCTTAATTTTAAATGTTCAGATGTGGTTGTTTTGCTCTGGCTATTAGCTTTGCGGAGTGTGTGGAATGTGTTTCTGTTTCACAGTTCAATTCAGCCATTATTCATCCATAGCCCAGAACCAGCCGGTGGGGCTGGCTTAGAAAATGAGCCCTGTGCTCGGTGTCTTAAGCAAGTGTTTTTAGCAGAGGGTAAACACACACACACACACACACACGTGCACACACTCTTTCATGCATGCACTCACACACAAATGCTTTACTGTCTATAGAGCTGTTAGAGAAAGTTGCATTAGAAAATATCAGAAATCAGAATTGTTCACTCCTGAGTTTTTGGCTCCACCATCTGGTCTCTGCCAGCAGTTCTCAACCAGTCATCAGGATTACAGTTTATACACCACAAACACTCAGACATGATCAATTCTGATCTTGTGTTGCACTTTTTGATGATAAAAAAACAAATATATAATGAATTAGTTCATTGAAATGACAGATAATGTGCTAAGTGATTGGCTTTTCAACAGCAAGAAAAAGGTGTTTATTTTTATTACTGAAATACAAATACATGCAGCCTTTGCAAATGGTATTTGTGATTTTTAAATTGGGAATTATTCTAGAACGTCTTTGATTACAGCTTCTAATGGAGCTGCGTTATATAGAAGTAATATTTCTAAATGAAAAAAGGAGCAACGCTTTGGTTTCATCAGCGAGTCTTCAGAAGTCTACATGTATTGATTGGTGGAAATGAGATTGGTGAAGAGAGGGTTTTGTCTCTGCGGGGGGTCGACTGGTAAAGGAAGGAGGGTGTCTGTTTTAAAGAGATCTCATGTTATGGCTGCTGTCATTAAGGCTCTTGGTTTGCTTTTGAAGACAGACCGGGGGGATCCGTCATGGCGGCTTACAGACATGTAGTGTCTCCATTCTCCTCCTGATAATATCTTTTGATTTGATTTGATTTTTTTTATCTTTGGGTGATTTAAAGATAGAAGTCTCTGAGATGTTGTTTGTTAAATCACCTTCTCTTTAAAGCGTTAACACTGTCCAAGCCTAATCTGTTATAAACCAGAACAGTAGAGCATCAATCTACATTTTTGGTCTGATGAAATGTGTAAATCCAGATTTTTGTTATGCTAAGAACAAAAAACAATTGCTGACAAAAAAGTGTAATAAACTATTTAAAGATTATTGTAGTTTTATATCTATATTATGGCATTTGCGATTAAAAAGATGACAGCAGATTTTTTTGTTTATTGTAGGGCTTGTGTTATTTAGAGAAAATGCCTGTGGGCATCTTAAATAGTTCCTGGGGGCACCATGGTGCCAGCGGGCACCTGGAGCCCCCTGCTTTAGAGGGATCTCTTCAAAAGATTAACATTAATTGTTTAATCAAAAATTTAGAATCGAGTCATTTTGATAGTTGATTCATTTTATTCTTGTCGTTGCATTTTGTTTCAATTAGGAAAGAATTTTAATCTTTAAAGAACACTTAAAAATGAGGGTGGCACAACGTGGTGTCGGCCAAGGTCTAGCACAGGAAGTCATTTGGCAAAGTGGCCATGTTCAAAACAACAAGTCAAATGATGCTCACTGAACCAAAAAGATGCAAATGTGTGACCTCGTGGAGGTCACAAACACACACACACACTTTCATGTTTCTAAACAAAGTTTGAGAAAAAAAAAGTTGGGAGTTTTTTTCTATAAAGAATCTGTTTTTGATCCTTGGGTGTAGAGCAATATTAGTCTAGTTGTCAAGAAAAACATTATCGTTTTTAGGTTTTTTAGGTTTTTGCAGTGGTCTCAGTTCCCTGACCCACTTCTCCTTGTTCTTCCCTCAGCTGCTTAGCTTCCCTTACCTGTTCCTCATTGGCCAATCAGCTCTCTGTTTTAAATAACATCACACTCCCACCCTACACTGGCATTGGTCATTTTCTTGTGTTCCATTCTTTAGTACATTTTTTGTCTTTTGCTTCGTCAACCTTTCATTTTGTATTAAAGCTGCTATAGCGAGTCTGAAAACAAGCTAGGTGTCATGTTGTGGGTAAGGAGTTTCACCCAGGACATGAAGAACCACACGCAGATAACAAAGGTAAGTAAAAATAATATAATTGTTTATTTAAATGATGAAAAGGTAGAACTAAAGGCGCTGCTCCAAAACGGGAACGGGAAGGAACCGGTATCTACAACGAGAGATAGTAAACTTGAGAATATGCCAGAACCAGAGAACCAAGAGAAATGATATTGCTTGGGGGAAATAGTTCTTACTGTCAGAGACCAGGGGCTGGTGATGTTGAACTGGGTCAGGTCTAGTAGTGAAGAGGCGGCTGAACCAATGGATGAGGTGGAGATGAGCAGGAGACGGTAGTAGGTGTCCAAGATGTTGGTTGGAAGACAGGTGGGTGGTGGAGAGCGGAGGCCAGAGGATCCTGAACGACGTGAACTCGAGTACAACTCCAGGCATAGGTGGGTGATTCAAGGTGAGGTAACTGGAGACAAGAACAACAGGATCTTACAGGAGAATTTCGCAGGAATACAGGAATCTAGACTAGGCTGGAAGCTACCCTTGGTGAGAGTATCAAACGGCACTGGAGTTGTGTCACACCGCTCCTTAAATCCCCTGGCCCTCTCATTAACGAGATCAGGATCAGCTGGAGCTCATTGACACGCCCACCTGTAACACAAAACTGAAGAATGCCAGGTCTCCTTTAAGGATGATTAAGGCAGACCGTGACACTAGGTTTTGAACACGATCCCAGAACACTCACCCCTCCCCTCGGGTATCCCCCCCGTGGGGCTCATCCCTGCAACCCGTGATCTCGGAGGAATTGAGCTAAACACCAGTCGCCGTTTTCTATGTCCAAACATCTTTTGTTGTCTGTGACTTCAAACGGTGTTTTTCCTTTTGGGACTCTGGTAGTTTGTCTTAAAGTTGAAGTGGTCGCAGCCGGCTGTTTCTCCTCTGATATCTTTGAGTCGCGAACCTCTCACATCAGTTGTGTTCTGTTGCTAAATACATGTGTGCGTAATGAGTGGAGGAGCCAGAGAACTGCAGCGGTTCATCGAGACCGACAACCATATGGTCCAATGGTCGCTTTTGGTCCAAAACGTGTTATTGGCAGAGGCAAGACAACCACTGTCATTTTTTTATTGCATTGCATTATTATATTATATTATTATATAATTCTATTGCATTGGATTGCATTGCATTATTTATAGCTAAACTGTGTTAGAACAATGTTGAGAGGCTTGAAAAGCTCATTTCTTTCCAAATTTACCATTGCAGCTTTAAAGACGTTGTTATTAAACTAGTCTACACTCTGGGTCTTGACCTTAATCGGATGCTGTTTACACAAACATAACAAATGTAGAAGTGTCTTCACTGTTAACATTTCATAAAGCAGAATTTCTAGCTATCCTGTGTGTGCAAATTTTCACTGTAAAAAAACGTTAAATGTTTGTACTTGAAACAGGTCAATAAAAAATGTCACCAACTAAAGACCCGAGTTCAAACTGCCCCCACTAATGATTGCATGGTGACCAAGTATTCTCTCAACTGAAAGTCGAGCTTGTTTGTTTTTAGGAGGATTCAAGCACATCTACAACGTGTTCTTCTTTTCCTTCACTAGACCGCTGTTACTGCTGCTGAGAACTGGCAGAGTGGGTTGCCTTCCATTAGAGCAGCATTGGGGGAACTAACCAAGCAGAAAGCAGCAGGCTTAAGGAAAACTTGTTTCTCTTTTAAATGGAAAGGCAGTAAACACTCTCCCCAGAGACTGCTTTCAACCGACAAAAATGAAATTTGATGCTTACACTCACAAACTAGACCCAGATGAAGCCCTTAACACGGAGGCCTTGGAGTCATGGCTCAGCTGGACTTTTTTGTTTGTTTGTTTTTTAAGAAAAATAAATATCTACACACAACAGTATAACTGACCCCATTCCCTTCAAAGCAGCAAGTAAAAAATGATTCATATGTCTTCAACTGAATTATGTATTTGAGTTATTTGTGCATCATTTGAAGCTTTACTAAATGCAGCAGTTATTAATCCCACACAGAAATAAGTGTTTCTCATAATTTTCACATTTCAAAGTTATGGAAGAAAAAACACTCTTGACATTAAAATCCTTTTGTATTCAAAAGTACGCCTTCATTCGGTTGATGGAGCACCATGGATCTATGTATGTGACCTCACCCACATCCTCATCTTGAATCCAGCTTTTGTTGTCTCAATGATGCTAATTATTGAAAATTTCTAACATTTGGCTCATTCAGCCACAGATCTCTGAACCAGAGCAATTCTCCAAAAAAGGCTCCTATAAAGTGAAATATGAAACTGAAATAGCTGTGTGCAGTTGCCACCAGAAAACATAAACGGTGATTCATTCTTGTTAAACTCTTAGAAAGACAACAGGCAGTATGCCTTTTACAAAAGACCCTCATCACAGGTGTTCCTCAAGGATGTGTGTTCAGTCCTTTGCTGACTCATGAATGTGGCACACTAGACTACTCAGACTGAACAGAGAGCCGGGTTTGTAGGTACAACCAAAAAAACATGGCATCAATAGAAAAGTAACTGGTTAATGTTGAGTTCACGACAGAAAAACAGACAGTAGCGGTACCCCAGATGGTATGAAAGACCTCAAAACCAGAGAAGGAGTCACCATGGTGAGTGTGTCTCGCTCGTTTGGTCAACTCCACCTACTGGTTACTCGTATATTGCAGCATTTGGACGCAGCATGTTCATTTTGTGGAACGCGCACAAATGATGCTTCAAATCAACGCAAGTATCGCATGGCAGCCCCTTTAAACACGCGTTCACTTCGTCAAACAGCAAGTATTTCAAGGCCCTTAGAACTCAACTGCAGCTATTTTTCATTATTTGTGGATTTTTGTGTTGTTTTGTAGTTTTACACGAATTTCCTTTGTTTTATTGCATGTAGGTCCGCAGTGTTCAGTACGGGTTCGGTTTTGCCACGTCTCATCTCATTGTTGCCCTCAGTTCTCTCTGGTTCAGCTCACTTTGGCCTGCTTTCCGTTAACTAATTTTCACTCAAAATTCAACCTTTATATAGCCTCATTTTTTTTATTTTGGGCATTCGTATTGTAAGATTTAGTTACCTTGATGTCATTTGGTTCCCTGGTTTCCTTGTGTGCTCCTGATTTTTTACGTTTCCAGTTGCCCTTTTGTATTTGAGGCTTTTGCTACTTCATCTGTTCCTTGGTTCCTGCAGTTTTTGGTCTTTATGACCATCAATCACACAAAGAAGTAAAATAGCTGAGTTGGTATAGAAATCGCTATCTGAAATGTAATATTAGCCTAACAGAAAAAACATGTAATGGCCCACAGCACATTGTCTAAATGTATTGTCAATATCAAGATCTCATATATTTGTCCTGTTTTAAGAATTAATGATGCTGGACTAGTCCAAAATAATCACATTCCTTAAACCAGCTGTAGTATTTAACTAAAATGGAAAGTAAATATGGACGTTTCTCAGTGTGAAAATGATAAAAGCAAAAAGCAGCAGACAAGCTTTAATATATAGGATAAATATTACTTACAAGTGGAATCATAACTGCCCTAATTGTTCTGATCTGGCAGATAAAAGTTCCTTGCAAAGGTCAGACTCCTTGATTTGAACAGCATCTCTGAGCCATTATAAATGCGGTTGTTTAGCATTTGCTAAATACTACAAGAAAGAGAACATACTACTAAAATGAGAAAAATGAGAGGTTTGTTTGTCTTAAAACATTTATAATGCACACATTCCCTGGAGATCCCTTCCCAAGTGAACACATAAATACCATTGTAACGCAACACAACCCTGCCCCCAATTTGAGGCAAATCTCCCATTAGGAGTATAAATCTGCAAGGCTTTGTGGGTAATTAACGAACATGCTCGAGAACGTTAGCAGGGCTTGGCAGGTGCGTTTGATCAGTGGCAGGAGGCAAAATCATGGTTGACAGAGAGAGATGGCAGGAGGATGAAGATGGGAGGGCAAGTAGGTGGAGAAAAGAGGAGTGTGAGGACTAAAAGGCAGGTTTTTATGCACCACACTTTATTTAAACATACACAACAAAGTGATGTATGTGCTTTAGATTACCAAAAATATTTATTGATTGTTTAAAACTTTATTCCACCAAAAAGATCACGCCTAATCTGACTCAACTCAAAATTCAAGCCTGAATTACACCAAACGCTTGTTAAAAATGAATATTTATGATCACCTCATCGCAGAGCTAATTACCAACCTGCTATTATGGCGGTACTAAACTGCAAAGGTGATTTGTTTCAATTTAACACAATGTGAATAAAACTCCAACTAATAACTACACTTAAATACATCTTACAGTGCTGAATTATTAATATTATTGTGTGTGGGTTGCCATGGGTTCAATGAGACCTAATTAGAGACGACACACTAAGTTAATTTGCAGATGCCTGAAGCAAAGTTTATATATAAGAGCTAATATTTGAAAGTCAAATTTAGGTTGAAAAGGGCTGTAATAACTGTTAATTAACTGTTTTTTCTTTGACAAACTTGAATAGAGTACAATATTCACAGGGCTACTGCTTAATGTTTCTGACCACAAATTTCAAAGCTTCTGAATTATTCTTTTGATGTGTGTATTCTCCAAAGACTAGATATTATTTTAAGATCCCTTTGTTCAGAAATTCATTTTTATTATCGCTGCATGAAATGCATGGCAACTCCTCATATAACGAACCATTGGAGCAATTAACATCTTCGATCGGGTTCATATTCCTGATAATTTATACAGACGATGCGCCTCCCCTGTGATTGCTTGCAGGGTTTGAGTCTTCTGCGGTTCCCTTGGATTTAGAAAATCAGCTTCATTCTGATGAAAATGGAAAGTGAAAATTTAATGACCAGGACTTGAATATGGAGATAATAAGGACTTTGAAACAACGGTGAGGGCAGCTCAACAAGCGAGACGACAGCAGCACCAGTGTAGCGACATCAAACCAATTAACACCGACGATAAATATTAAAAGGAGTCAGTATTAACGGAACATGACTTGGAAGCAAAGCTGTAAACAAGTGTTGGATGGCTGATGATTAAAAGCGTGTCACACAGGGCTGCACAGGGATGGGAGAGCAGGGATTTCAGCACAAGAACGGATGCTGCCTCAGAGCTAAACAAAGCTGTTAGTGTTAACCTGCGATCAGAGGAGAAACGGGTCAATATGAAGGGTTTTACTCACCTGATGTGTCACAAAACAGACCGCCTAAACCATGTCAGCTGCTGGAAAAACACAGAACGCAAACTGACCTAAACAGGAAACTTTATGATGCAAGAGTCAAATGTAGAAGTTAGAACAAATGTTGAGGAAATCCCTTCCTTTAGCTTAGAAAATGCATGCACACCTTTGTTCACCCAAAAAAAATCAGAGCACGAGATGTGAAACAAGACTAATTCACATATTTAGCTTCAATATTAGTATATATTATTTTTAGTATCCCTCCCACTGTCTTCATGGGTGACCCCGCAAAGAAAGTTGACCATTGAGCAGGATTAATAGTTTATCCCTTGGGGTCCACGTGGCTGGGGGGAGGAGTGAGCACCACCTCACCCCTGCCACCTCAAGGGATAAACCATCAATTCTGCTCAATGGTCAACTTTCTTTGCGGGGTCACCCATGAAGACAGTGGGGAGGTAAAATATTATTACCATCAGTTAAATAGTATCACAAATATCACATTACCAGATATAAAACTTAATTAGTTAATTGCTCTCTTACTAAATGTTGCCTGATAGCTAAACTGTATGCAGGGTAACCTAATAATAAGGGGACATGATACCAGACAGAAGGATCTGACCACAAAGGACCCAGCGGTGAGCAGGTTGGAGTTTTTATTTTTTTGTTTCTCTGGTGAGTAGTGAAGATATATGAGAGAGCACCGAGAGCAATCCGATACATCCCATGTGTTCCCACGTGGTCGGAGACCTCTGCACCTCTGCTGCTCACCCAGACTGGGGTCACTGTTGCTGCACCCAGAGGCCCCAGCTGAGCTCCAGCCATCTTCAGAGTCATGTCACCCTTCCTGGGGGCCCATGCCACCCTGCCCTTAGACTTCAGCCGTACTGCCCTGAGGCCCCAGCTGTGTCACCCTGTCTAGGAGCCCCAGCCGTGTTGCCACACTTGATCTGCCCAAAGAGTTCCACCTTCTAGCATTCCTGCCTCCATCCATGGAGCTCCAGCATCCTGTGTTCCTGTCCCCACTCCTTTTTGTGTTTCATTCCTGTGTTGGGCATTTGGTGCCACCCTTAAGGGAAGGACAATTCAAATTAACTGTTTATTTAAAACCTGCCAACCTGAACCCTGTGCCTGCTCTGTTGCCTTTGGGACCGTTTCCATCTCCACAACATGACAGGTTGCTGAATCTTGTACCAATTCAAATCTCAGAAAGACAAAAAAAAAACTGTTCATGGAAATGTTTGTCTATAAACCTTTACACTACCATACATTTCCATGACATTGTTATTTAGCTACAATTTGATGATTATTTGCAGAAAATGTATTCTGCATTAATTGTCTTTGCAGCATTTCTGACTGGAATTTCATAATTTTGCTGAAATATCCATCCATTTTCATCCGCTTATCCGGAGTCGGGTCGCGGGGCAGTAGCCTAAGTCGAGAGGTCCAGACTTCCCTCTCCCCAGCCACCTGGGCCAGCTCTTCCGGGGGAATCCCAAGGCGTTCCCTGGCCATACGAGAAGCATCCCTCCAGTGTGTCCTGTCTTCCTTTAGCCCTCCTCCTGGTTGGACGTGCCTGGAAAACCTCACCAGGGAGGCGTCCAGGAGGCATGCTGACCAGATGCCCGAGCCACCTCAACTGGCTTCTTTCGATGAAAGGAAGTACTTTGGCCGAAATATTCATGAAAACTTGTAACATATAATTTTCATATATTTTACATGAGAATCTTTTGAAGATATTTTAAACTAGCTTTTATCTGCCTCTCTTAAATGAAGTTGCTCTAAGGCAGGGGTGTCCAATCCTGGTCCTGGAGGGCCGGTAACCAAAGTCATTTATTGTCATATTCTACCACATGTGCAGGACATACAGAGAAATGAAATTCAGTTTCAGCACACACAATTCAAAGATCAGACATACGTGGGTAAGACACATAACAAGAATTGGTGACTGCGGTCATTCGCAACATGAGTCGCGCTACCTTAATAGATAGATGAAGAGGGTGTTACATGAGGGAAGTTCAGGGAGGGAGAAAAAAAAAGGCATTAACAGGGTTACACCAGCAGGGTGTAGCACTCCAATGCAAAAAAACACCCGACATGTAAGCAACAAACGTCACAGTTCACAACATGAGACCCGGTAGGTAGGGGGGAGGGGCTGGGATCCTGGTTCCTCAGCGGGGGCAGCCTGTTTGGCGCTCAACCAGCTGGCTCCGCAGGTGGGAGGGAGGTCATGGGGAAGCACAGTGAGCAGTGAGTCCTTCAGCTTGATGACCTCGGTGGAGACCTCAATCTGAAGGCGGGGGGGTGGGTGGATAGAGATTCACAGCATTTGTCTGCATTCCTTCCAGCGTGGGGGTTTTGCATGCAACTCCAAGGCTGCTTATGGCGTCAGATTCGATAACAGAACTTTGTTTTGGGTCAGACAGAGATAATTTTTCCTCTCTGCCTTAAGTCTGTATTGATCATTCAAGTCCTCCATTGAAGCCAATTCAGTGATTAAACATCTCCACACCGTCCGGTGACCCTTTCCGAGATGTTATCAATCCTGCACGCTAACACCGGTAACGCAGCTAAGACATTGTCCAGCTTGCGATTCGCCTCGAGCAACGTCCCAGTCTGTGAGGTATCCACACGGACGGTGCCGTCCATGGTTGCGGGTCGCCTTCCAATCGCTCCCGTCATCCCAATTTTACGGAAAGCCAGATATCCTCCCACTCCAATCAGAAGAAATCCAACGATCATCAGGCCAAATATCCACATATCTTCGAGGTCCTCAATGGACAGCTGAGAGAGACAGATGATATTCCACTTCTTCCAGGAATCGAACATATATCCCGCTGCATGTGTCCCCTGAGGACAAGCGTGAGCCCCCTCCTCCGTCCTCATTGTAGAAAAAAATCTTATCAATCGCGTTGAATGACCAATTAATTAAGTCCATGTTGAAAAAAAAAGGTGATTGCAGAGGAAATGCAGAGAAGCGCTCTGTAGGCAGACGGGACAAAAAAAAAAGAGCCTTGGGAAAACACAGATAAGGGGGGAAAAGGCAGAAGCGTTTGCTCCCTGTGAGCGCCGGAAGAAGATAACCAGCAGGTTTTGTGGTTTTTCTGCTTCAATACGCTTGATTAGCTGGTTGAATCGCCTGTGCAGCAGCTCACCAGGCTCTGCAGAAGCCTGTTAATCACCTGCTGATTGAAATCAGGTGTGTTGAAGCAGGTTAAAACGAAAACGTGCTAGATACCGGCCCTCAAGGACCAGGATTGGACACCCCTGCTCTAAGGTTTATCTATGACCCATAACATGTGATTGGCTATTGGAACCATTTGATAAACTCAAACATTTCATTGACATTTCAATGCAAAATAAGCTTGTAAAAGTATTTTCGATGTGTTCATGAAAGTTTGCTGCTCAACTACTTGAACGTCCTGTATATTTATACCCAACGTAAGTCTTGGGTACTTTGGCCCAGAGGTGCGACCAAGTCACAAGTAAGTCACAAGTCTTTCAACTCAAGTCTCGAGTCAAGTCAAAAACAACCAAGTCCAAGTTGAGTCCAAAGTCAATGATGTGGAAGTCCAAGTCAAGTCCAAGTCCTTAACTTTGAATTTCCAAGTCATAATCAAGTCATCTGTCCAGCTTCAATTTCATGACAATGATAATAAATAAATTCCAGAAATAAAGCTTCATTTATTTGCTCAAACAGCAGAAAGTGCAACAGAAACTGATTGTAAACAAAGTGCTGCTGCATTCAGCAGTACAAGATCAAACCCAGACCGAAGAATGATTTATGATTTTTGTCCATGTCGAGCCACTTTTGTGCTAAAATATCAAATATGCTCAAGTCATCATCAAGTCAACAGATGCAAGTCGATTCAAGTCGCAAGTCATTGGTGTTCAAGTCCGAGTCAAGTCAATCAAGTCACTTCATAGATTTCATCAAGTCAAGTCAGAAGTCATTAAAATAATGACTCAAGTGTGACTCGAGTCCACACCACTGCTTTGGTCAGTATGGTAAACAGAAACTTGGACAAAAACTCAGACTTAACACAAAGAGTGCAAGCTGAGTGAAAAAAATGTGTATGTGTTGAGTGACTCTTGGTGTGTATTAAAGTTCTTTTGGAAAATAAAGAACAATCTTTCAGTCCTACTGTGCTAGGAGGCTATTTCATCACGTCAATGTTTGTTTGTTTTGCACGTTTGGATGAAGATTTATCACAGCAGACGGTTCACTCTAGCTGTGCGGTCGTTGGAGGCTTGGTAAAAAGTTACTTTTTCATTGTTTTCCTCCGTAAACGACCACGGGAAACGAAAGAGATGGTTGTTGGCAACCCAGACGCTCCAAAGAAAGCCTGGTTTCCTGCAGTAGTTTGTTCATGGTAAGTCATTGTGATTGGGCATTTGTTATTTAGGGTTTTTAAAACATCAAGTTTAAAATCCACTAAGCCATATTGTTATCGTGAACATCAAGTAAATAAGGAAGGCTTACCTGACTTTGCATTCGCACTGAGAATCCGCCGTTTCTTTGGCAATCACCCATGGTTGACGTGAATCTGTGTCTGCTGGCCAGGTCTGACTCCTGCTATGAGCACGACCACGGCTTTCTGTTTTGCAGAAGAGATCGGCCCAACTTTCCTTGAAATAAAATAATCGTAGGCCTCCAGACCTTTGAAAGCCTTTCATTTTTCATGAGTGAAGGTTCCAGGGCTTTCTATTAAATAGGAATAAATGTCTCTCCGGCAGATTTGTGGCCGACGCACCGATAAATCAGACCAACGTTTGTCATCCTGATGTCATACAGACTTTGAATAGCTTTAATTTTGTCGTCAATACAGATTATCTCTGAACCTCCTCCTGTTTTCAGGCGTGAAAGTGTTTATATTTGGGGAATTTTGCCCGCAAACCCTCGTGTCTTGACGGGCCGTTTTCAGCCTGTGCGAACAAAGGTGCCAACAAAGATCCTCCTATAAACAGACATGCATCTCAGTGTTTCCTGTTTTTGTCTGTAAAACCATTTTCAAAATAAGAGCGGCTCTGAATCTGAACCAGAGTTAAGCCCACTCCCTTCAACTATACAAAGGAAGAAAATGGGGAAAGTTTCAAGTTTTGCTGAATGTCGCCGTCTCTAATAAATAGGCAGGATTAACGCATACCTTTTAATATTCGCGCTGCTTAATGGGCTGACAGTGTTGAATTATCTATAGGTCTCAGGGATTCAAAAAGGACCATCAAACCCAAACTTGAGAGCAGTGTCTTGTAATTGAATAATACATTACATGTGGCAATTATTTCTGTTAGAAGCAGACTGAGAAATCAATAACCAAGGGATCAAATCAAGGACTGTGGAGCTCTTGTTTCTATTCCCCTTGAGACTAATTACATCACCACAGTTTAAACACCTGCAGAGTCACACTGTGACACGTTCTCTCCATCACACTGACAAACGGGGAAAAAAAGGTGCCTCCGTCAGGATCTCATTTGAACACGAAGCCACTAAATATGTATTGTGAGCTGAGATTTTATTATTATTATTTTAAAGTCTCGTCTGAAGGGTTTTGTTCAAGTTTTGCATTCAAAATGCATCAAGGTGTAAAGTAAATACAGAATGACGGGAGAGCAGTGCATCTTTGTTGACATAATACACACTCATTGCACAGCCTGACCTGCAGTTATAAATTATGCACCGGTTTTTAGCTGCAGGCTCTGTGCTCCCATGACATGTGTGGTGCTGATTAAGAGGGTCTGTTTTAATGAACACGTCACGTCACACACACAAAGGGCTCGGCTGCAGCGGTGCATCACAGAGAACACGCGCAGGTGACGCCGAACCCCTGACCACCTCTACCGGTGAACACAATTTGCTTTTATCAAAAAAAAAATCATGGCTCCTAAAAGAAGCAAATAGCAGGTCTCATTAAATGTTGATGCTTCTGGTGAGTAAGAACACTGGCTACATCAAAGGCCTTGTTATGTCCAGTAAATACCAAACAGTCCAGAGTTTCTCTTTAGGAGTGTTAAAAGCTTGTAAGACCAGCCGTGCTCAGATCAACCGCTGGGATGGTGCCACGATCCGTACGCATCCAGCAAGAAGAAATCTCAGCGAGCTAAATGGAGAAGATGATGGAGGTGGGGGGGGGGGGGGGGGGGGGGGGATATTTGTCTGTAATTATTTGCTCTAGCGTGTGAGGCATTGTGTTTTATCTCCTCTACGTGATGCTCCGTGCTCTGATATGCCTCCTCTCATCTGAGAATGGATCATCAAAACTCAGAGTCAATAACACACACACACACACACACACACACACACACACACACACACACACACGTTCATTGAAGCAAAAACAGCCTGGAGTCAAAGGATATATGCTCCTAAGCTGATTATTAGTCCCGTTTGTTTGAAATAATTGAGGAAAAACATGAGAATAAACGAAAAATAGAAGAAATCGATTTTATTTTTATTTTATTTGCAAAACTTAATAACTACATTTATGAAAGAACAGAAGCAAGAACAGTAAATGCTGCTGCTGTGTGTGTGTGCACGCGCGCGTGTGTGTGTGAGTATGTGTGTGTGTGTGTGTGCGTGCGTGCGTTTGTGTGTGTGTGTGTGTGTGTGTGCACGTGTGTGTGTGTGTGTGTTTGTGCGCGCATGTGTGTGTGTTTGTGCGCGCGCATGTGTGTGTTTGTGCGCACGCGTGTGTGTGCATGTGTGTGTGTTTGTGCACGTGTGTGTGTGCGTGTGAGTGTGTGTGTGTGCGTGTTTGTGCACATCTCTCTGTGTGTGTGTGTGTTCGTGTGTGTGTGTGTGCGTGTTTGTGCATGTCTCTGTGTGTGTGTGTTTGTGCACGTCTCTGTGTGTGTGTGTGAGAGAGAGAGAGAGAGAGAGAGAGAGAGAGAGAGAGAGAGAGAGAGAGAGAGAGAGAGAGAGAGAGAGAGAGAGAGAGAGAGAGAGAGAGAGAGAGAGAGAGAGAGAGAGAGAGAGAGAGAGAGAGAGAGAGAGAGAGAGAGAGAGAGAGAGAGAGAGAGAGAGAGAGAGAGAGAGAGAGAGAGAGGAGAGAGAGAGAGAGAGAGAGAGAGAGAGAGAGAAAACCCCGGCTAAGAAAACAATGTTCCTGAAACAAAAATCCTGGACAGAAGCGCAGCTCCGCGCTACTCTGATGTGGAGAGGGAAAGCGAGTTTTACAGGTTAAAACCTCCACAGGCGAACTGAATGAAGACATGCTCACTCAAAGGACTTAACATCAAAAGAACCTGCATTTTCAGCTATTCTCTGTGGTGGGGCTTGCTTTGCATGTTTCATGACAGAGCGCTTCATATTTCAGCCCACCTTTCTATTGATACGGTTGAAGCCTTTTTTCTATTTTAATTGAAGTTGTTTTTACGTAATCTGTTGTTCCTCCTGGGCGCCACATTACAAACAGAAACTGTCACAGTTCTTCTCATAAAATGAGATTGTTTGGAGGGATTGTTTTTCTACATAAAAGCCACCAGATGACCTATGGTTCAGGGTCGGTCCTTTGAAGAAATGGAGGACAATCAAAAAGGACAAATGTGACGGACCTCCTGTGTGAGATACAAGATGAATGTGAAGCAGCGCGTCGGTTCTGTGATGTCTTTGACCTGGTAGTTCAAAGCTGCTCTTGGACTCTGGACCCCTGTTCAGTGTGAGCACCTCAGACAAAGACTTTGTTCATAATAAAGTAAATCCAGCACATTGTTCCTTTGAGCTGAACATCACCATTTCAACAGGGAGGACCATCTCCGGGCCTGACCAGAGCATGAATTTGCCAACAAAATTCCTCTCACAAACTTTATTATTATTATTCTGAACCTCGTGTTTGATCCTCTCTCCCAGAATCTTACAACTCATCTCTCACTCAAGCTCCTTCAGTCTTTAATTCATACTCAGTAAATAAAATGTTTATTCACACCAAACCAACCTGTGGAACATGCGTGATGAACGCATCTCTGTGTTGATGGGACAGTGTGGAGCTACAGGACACTCACTCCTTCCTCCAGAGGAGCGCAGCTTTGGTATCAGGAGGCACGGGGAGGTGCTGCAGCCCCTGGCCATAGTTATCCACGGCTGCTCTGGTGCCTCCGTTCCTCCTGAGACACAAGGCCGAGCGAGTCTTTGAAGTTAAAAGTGTGGCTGGAAGACAATATGAGTAGCATGTGAGCATCTTCTCTGCAGTGTGTGAGGCCAAAGGTGTGAGATCTTTGTGGGAACCGTGTGTGTGTGAAAGTTAGTGAAACCCACCGCAGGTTTAATTAATCTATGAGCAAAATGAGGCAAAAGCTTAGTTAGTGAAAACTGTAGCGGTTTCTTCATTCTTTTCACTTTTTATGCAGAAAACATAAAAGAAGACGATTCTTGCTGCAGACTTTGAACCGATCTTGTTTAACTCAATGTAAAGAGTTAAAAGCTTATCTGTGTTCATTCTTAATGAGGAACAACCCACACTTGTATAGCACCTTTCAGAGTCAGAGGACTCCAAAGCGCTTCACACTACAGTGTGTCATTCATCCATTCACACACACATTCACACACTAATGGGGGATGAGCTGCAGTGTAGCCACAGCTGCCCTGGGGCGCACTGACGGAGGCGAGGCTGCCGAGTGAAGGCACCATTGGTGCCGCCGACCTCCACCAGCAGGCAGAGTGGGTGAAGTGTCTTGCCCAAGGACACCACAGCCGAGTTCTCCGTCCAGAGATTACTGGACAACCTGCTCAACCTGTTGAGCTACTGCTACCTCTTTTATTTTCATTATTAATCTTAAAGCAAAAAACATTCTTTGATGTGAACCTTTCACTGAGCCTTGAAATCTCCACTCAGGTAGACAACATGTATCTAGAAAAAAAATATATATATATATATACATATATATATATATATATATATATATATATACTATATATATGTATATATGTATATATATATATATATATATATATATATATATATATATATATATATATATATATATATATATATATATATATATATATATATATATATATATTGTTAGCAGAGTTTGATTTACCCAGCGGTTGGTCCAAGACTCCCAAAGGAATCTCCAGGATTAAAAAGGAGGAAATAAATCCATAAACAGAGTGTCTGTTTCAACGGGCCTTCACTGGTGGCAGCACACACTGATTGCGCTCTACAAACTCCAATGCTCCCTTTTTATTGGTCATTCCACGAGGTCAAAGTTCAATTTCCTCTACAGTTGCTTTTCAAAAATAAAAGCATACACACATTCTTATTTACATAGATGCATAACATAACAGAGCATATTATTCTTATGCTCAACACCCCCACTTGCTCTGTGATTGTTTGCACTTCTTGTTTAACTTTACATTCCAAATAACAGTTTGTTGAACCTGTTCAGCTTACACACAGTTGTAGGTTTGGTCATTACATCTGCAAGCATATGTTCTGTCTGCAAATATATTAAATCCATAAGTCCTTCTTTCAATGTTGATCTTATGAAATGATATTTTATGTCAACGTGTTTACATCTTTGTCTATTCACAGGATTTTTAGCTAAAGCTATTGCACTCTGGTTGTCCTCATATACCTTTGCTTGTTCATATTCATAACTGTCCTTGTGCTCAAGAAGTTGCATCAAATATAAACATTCCTGAACAGTGGCTGCTAGAGACAGGTACTCTGCTTCACACGTAGACAAAGCAATTGTAGACTGCTTTTTGGTTTTCCAGGATATGGGTGGTCCCTTCTCTGATGGGCTGATGCAATAACCTGTCATACTCTTACGGTCTTTGACATCTGAAGCCCAATCTGCGTCACTGTAAGCACGTAGTCCTAGCTTTTCACCTACACATTTCTGGTAGCATAGTTTCTTATCATGTGTGCCTTTGAGGTATCTCAATACATGTTTGACTGTGGTCCAGTGCTGTTCTGTAGGGCATGAGAAATATTGTGAAACTTTACTCACTATAAAGCTTAAATCTGGTCTTGTACATGTAGACAGGTAAATAAGACTCCCCACGGCTTCTCTATACAGTTTGACATCACTCAGTCTTTCTGCATTTTCATCATGTTCCAACTTCTGTTCACATGGTGTGGTCCTAGGTTTGCAATCCTGCATGTTAAATCTCTCCAGTATCTTTTCTGTGTATCTGGTTTGTGACATTGTAACAGCCCTCTCGTTCTGCTCAACATCGATACCAAGGAAATGTTTCAACTTTCCTAGATCTTTCATCTTGAGCCTGGCTGTTAAAACCAACTTTGTGTCTTCTAGTGCCCTTTCATCGGAAGCTGCAATGATTATATCATCAACCCACACTAGGATTATTATCTTGTCTTCTTTCCTTTGCCTGGTATACACACAATGATCAGCAGGGTTTTGTACAAAGTCATTTTCACACAAATATTCATGTAAAACAGTGTTCCAGTTTCTACCTGCCCGCTTGAGTCCATATATAGCTTTGTTTAGTTTACACACTAGTTTCTCATTCTTTTGTGCCGGTATTTCATAACCTTCTGGTTGTTCCAGGTATATTTCGTGATCCAACGGGGCATGAAGGTAGGCGGTTTTAACGTCCATTTGATGTAGCAACAGATTTTCATGCACTGCTTTCAGCATTAGGATTCTGACACTGTTTAAATGTGCTGTAGGTGAGAAGGTTTCCTCATAATCTTCTCCCTTTTTCTGACTGAACCCCTTAGCTACATATCTAGCTTTATGTTTATCTGTTCCATCTACATTCCTTTTAATGGTAAACACCCATCTTCCCCCCACTGTCTTTCTGCCTTCTGGCAAAGTTGTCAGAGTGAAAGTGTCATTGTCCTTCAGTGAGGCTAGTTCTTCCTCCATGGCTGCTTTCCATGCCTCTGAGTCAGGTGATTTTATTGCTTCTTCATAAGTTAAGGGTACACCAGTAAAAAGTCTGTAGCAATAGTCCAAGTTAGTTAAAACTTGATCATCATCCTCTGTTACATAACCTTTTGTTGCATAATCATTCAAGTAGCTCGGTCTCTTTCTCTCTCTGGTGGGATAACGCGATGACGTTTGTTCTGGTTCATCTAGAGGTTTTGTATGACTCGTTCCTTCTCCTGGGTCTTCCTCTTTCTGCCCGGGTGTTTTGTCTTTAACCTCCCTTCTTGTCCTAACTA